GGCTATGACTGTAATTTGAAGACTGGCTGATCTAGGCCCACCTTACCTAGAGCCAGGGAAGGAACTGCAAAGTCAGCTGACTGTTGGGGAGACACATCTCAGAATTACAACATTTAAAGACCACAAGGCATTTTATCTTCCTTAGCCTAAAAATCAACATCTGTAAAGCAACTGACGGATCCTGAAAAAATGAGATAGAAGATCTTGTGTTTCTTAATATAGAATCATAGAATCATAGAATGGTTAGGGTTGGAAGGGACCTCAAAGATCATCGAGTTCCAACCCCCCTGCCATGGGCAGGGACACCTCCCACTAGAGCAGGTTGCTCAAGGCCACTTCCAGCCTGGTCTTGAACACTTCCAGGGATGCTTCCCTGGGCAACCTGTTCCAGTGTCTCACCACCCTCATAGTAAAAAATTTCTTCCTGATATCTAATCTGAATCTTTTTTCTTCCAATTTAAAACTGTTTCACCTTGTCCTATCATTACCCTTCCTGGCAAAGAGTCCCTCCCCAGCTCTTCTATAGGCTCCCTTCAGATATTGAAAGGCCGCTATAAGGTCTCCCCAGAGCCTTCTCTTCTCCAGGCTGAACAATCCCAGCTCCCTCAGCCTGTCTTCATAGGAGAGGTGCTCCATCCCTCTGATCATCTTCGTGGCCCTCCGCTGCACCTGTTCCAGCTGGTCCATGTCCTTTCTGTGTTGAGGACTCCAAAGCTGGACACAGTATTCCAGGTGTCCAGGTGGGGTCTCACGAGTGCAGAGTAGAGGGGCAGAATCACCTCCCAAGACCTGCTGGCCACACTTCTCCTGATGCAGCCCAGGACACGGTTGGCTCTCTGGGCTGCCAGCTCGCACTGCTGGCTCATGTTGAGCTTCTCATCCATAAGCACTCCCAAGTCCTTCTCCTCAGGGCTGCTCTCCAGCCAATCTCCACCCAACCTGTATTTGTGCCTGGGGTTGCCACGTCCCAGGTGCAGGACCCTGCACTTGGCTTGGTTGAACCTCATGCAATTTGCATGGGCCCACCTCTCCAGCCTATCCAGGTCCCTCTGGATGGCATCCCTTCCCTCCAGCGTGTCAACTGCGCCACCAAGCTTGGTGTCATCAGCAAACTTGCTGAGGGTACACTCAGTCCCACTGTCCATGTCTCCAACAAAGATGGTAAATAGTACTGGTCCCAATACCGACCCCTGCAGAACACCACTCGTAAGTGGCCTCCACCTGGACATTGAGCCGTTGACTACCACCTTTTGGGTGTGGCCGTCCAGCCAGCTCCTTATCCACCGAGTGGTCCATACATCGAATCCGTGGGTTTCCAATTTTGAGACCAGGATGTCGTGTGGGACAGTGTCAAATGCTTTGCATAAGTCCAGGTAGATGACATCAGTTGCTCTGCCCTTGTCTACCAAGTCTGTGGCAGTATTGTAAAAGGCCACCAAATTTGTCAGGCACGATTTGCCCTTGGTGAAGCCATGTTGGCTGTCTCCAGTCACCTCCTTATTTTCCATGTGCCTTAGCAGAGATTTCAGGAGGATCTGCTCCATGATCTTGCCAGGCACAGAGGTGAGACTGACCGGCCTGTAGTTCCCCGGGTCTTCTTTGTTTCCTTTTTTGAATATTGGAGTTATGTTCCCTTTTTTCCAATCAGTGGGAACTTCACCAGACTGCCACGATTTCTCAAATATGATGGAGAGGGGCTTAGCAACTTCATCTGCCAGCTCTTTCAGGACCCGTGGATGGATTTCATCAGGTCCCATGGACTTATGCACCTTCAGGTTCCTTAAGAGGTCACGAACCTCATCTTCTTGTACTGTGGGTGGTTCTTCATTCTCCGAGCCCCTGTACTTGCTCTCCGTGACTTGTTCAGTGTGGCCAGGGCTCCTGCTAGTGAAGACTGAGGCAAAAAACTCATTCAGTAGCTCAGCCTTGTCTGCATCCTGGGTGACCAGGTCTCCTGCTTCCCTCCAGAGGGGACCCACAGCTTCCCTCGTCTTACCCTTATCCCTGATATACCTATAGAAGTTCTTCTTGTTATTTTTCACATCCCTGGCTAGATTTAGTTCTGCCTGGGCTTTCGCTTGCCTGATCTGGTTTCTGGTGACTCTCACAGTTTCTCTGTAGTCTACCCAGTCCATCTTTCCCTGCTTCCACCCTCTATAGGCCTCCCTCTTGGTCCTAAGCTTGCCCAGCAGTTCCCTGCTCATCCATGCAGGCCTGCCAGCTACTCTGCCCGACTTCTTCTTTTTTGGGATGCACCTCTCCTGAGCTTGGAGGAGGCAATCCCTAAATACCACCCAGCTCTCCTGGGCCCCTCTCCCCTCTAGTTCTTTTTCCCATGCTACCTTGCCAATCAGATCTCTCAGGAGATCAAAGTCCGCTCTTTTGAAGTCGAAGGTAGCCACCTTGCTGCACATCCTCCTTACTGCGTTATGAATCTTGAATTCTGTCATCTCGTGATCACTGCAGCCGAGGCTACCCTTGAATTTGACATTCCCAACCAGCCCCTCCTTGTTGGTAAAGACTAGATCCAGCATTGCACCTTTCCCCAGCCACTCTGCCCGACTTCTTCTTTTTTGGGATGCACCTCTCCTGAGCTTGGAGGAGGCAATCCCTAAATACCACCCAGCTCTCCTGGGCCCCTCTCCCCTCTAGTTCTTTTTCCCATGCTACCTTGCCAATCAGATCTCTCAGGAGATCAAAGTTCGTTCTTTTGAAGTCGAAGGTAGCCACCTTGCTGCACATCCTCCTTACTGCGTTATGAATCTTGAATTCTGTCATCTCGTGATCACTGCAGCCGAGGCTACCCTTGAATTTGACATTCCCAACCAGCCCCTCCTTGTTGGTAAAGACTAGATCCAGCATTGCACCTTTCCTTGTTGGTTCTTCAATTATTTGAAAAAGAAAGTTGTCGTCAACGCATTCCAAGAGCTTCCTGGATTTCCTGTGCTCCGCTGTGTTGTCTTTCCAACAGATGTCGGGGTGGTTGAAGTCCCCCATGAGTACCAGAGTGTGTGAGCGCGATGCTGCCCCTATCTGTTTATAGAGGGCCGCATCCTCACTGTCACTTTGATCTGGTGGCCTGTAGCAGACTCCTACTGTAACTTCACCTGCCCCTGTGCTCCCTTTAATCCTCACCCATAAAGTCTCTGTTTTGTCTTCATCCGTCCCTAGTTGGAGCTCCATACATTCCAGGTGGTCCTTGACATAGAGGGCAACACCCCCTCCCCTTCTGCCCATCCTGTCCTTCCTGAAGAGCCTGTAACCCTTCATTCCTACACTCCAGTCATAAGAGCCATTCCACCATGTCTCAGTGATACCAATAAGGTCAAAGCCTTGGAGGTGTGCACACATCTCTAATTCCTCTTGCTTATTCCCCATGCTGCGTGCATTTGTGTATAGACACTTCAGCTGATTAAGAATTATTTCATGTTATTGTGTTTTGAACAAAAATATAGGAACATATTTTCCTAGGCAGGGTCCAAGAAATCAGAAATATGGAGGGTGCTTTTGATCACAGGTTAAAGGGATGCATTTTCTCTGCTCCAAAGTATTGTCGCCCTCACTGATTGCTTCATCAGCTCTTGCAGCTGAAGTCTAATATGCATCACTGCTACAGGAAACCCAAATGGTTATTTGGTAAAAATAAACACGTTGGTGGGCCAATGTGTCAGAAGACAAAAAAATATCTTAAGCAACTCAGACCTGGTAGTGGTGATCAATACACTTTTTATCATCGATGTTTGTGATGAATTAGATGACCGAGCAGTAGAGACTTGTGATGCAGATCCATCAGGCATGTCACCATACCTCAAAGGATGCTGCATTGAAAAATCTCTTTCAGGCTTGAAGACAAAATTGAATGTTTAAACCCACAGCTCATGGTTTTCCCTGATTTCCCCTTCAGTTGGTACCAACGTGATGTGATTTCAGCAGGGGCACTGAAAACACAGCAGTGTAAAACTAGCATCTGAAGTTTCAGCCAAGCCCGGCTGCTGTAATTAATGCTTATTATTACTGGCAGTGAAGAATAATAAGCAGAGATGGCTGAAAAATGTCAGTTCTTTTTTTTATCAAAAAATTAAGTAGTATTTCAGTTGAAAAGCTGAATTTAAGTGGAAATTAAATCAAAAGCAGTTTTTGTAAATGAATCTGATGAAAAACTTTATTTTTTTAAAACATCAGACCCAAACACTTATGCTAAATATGCTTTCTTTCTTTCTTTCAGTAGGTGTGAATTGGTTATTTTTTGACTAAGAAAGATTTTCTAATTAAGAATGAATGGGATTATTTCATCAAAAGGACAATAAAAAAATTCCAACCATTTATGTTGAATTGTCAGGGCCCTGACAGACTTCCCTGTCCCTGTCTGCATCTCCTCTTCCTCACCCCTCAGCCCCGACACCGGGGTGTTCCCCATCTTCCCACAGCCCAGGATCCTGTGTCAGCCCCCCAGGGCCATCAGCCCCTGCCCCAGCGATGCCAATGTCACAGTGGGGATGGTCTCCAGGTCCTCACAGCTCCATCCTGCCAGGCCACGAGGCAACACTAACAGTAAGCAAGATTACTGCCACCAATGCCAAGCAGTGAGCATTAAAAAAATGAGCCACCATCAGCAACTAAAAGCAGAATTTGCTGCAAATCAATCACTCATGGCAACTGCATTATGAGTGTCTGTGTGCATGTGTGTCTATTTCTCTCTTGCATTTGCATGGATGTGTGGAAGAAGAGATAGTCTATACCAGAAGAATACAAGCTATATTCATTTTTTTTAATTCTCTTTGCCCTTTCCAAGGAAAATACATAAACATGAGTAACATTAGCTCTGTCACATTTTGGTGCAAATGAGATGCTGCCTGTTGTTTCTAGTCCTGTGTTGTATCATGCAGTGTAGATACTTTATCCTGCTTATGTCTCTGCTGTAAGACCAGAGATCATGTTGTCACTTTACAAATATAGCATATTAGTACATCTGGAAAGCTAGTCACGCTGTGGGGTTCAAACAGGTCTGGCTGGCCATGTGCTATGCTGCTGCTATAAACAACCTCAGCGTCTCAAATTGAATAACAGCAGAGCACACTCGGGAGCTCTGGACACTTGTGTTCTTTCATAGTAGGTAAGTGACAGTTTTGCTGATTATTGTATTTGTTCAGATGTGTGGGGTCAAGGTGGGAAATGGCAGGGAAAGTGAGAAGTTTATGAGGTCTTCACTGCTGCTACCATGTTGTGGATTTTAAAATGCTAACTTATATGGGAAAAATAGCTGAAACATGGAGTGTTAGTCCAAAGTGGTGTGTTTGCTGATATGTTTATAGATAGTCAGATTTACCCCATATATAGTTCCGCTAAGTAGATTTACACCAGTGACAAATCCACACTTCATAATTCAGGAAAGCTTTCAAGACTCACTCCGTGACTCAGCTGTAATAAACTCTTGCTATTACATCTCACGGACATACCCTGCTGTGAGAATTATTTTCAATAAAAAATAGTTGGAGAGGTTGTTCATTTATCTTTGTTGTCTGTCAAAATTTAGAATGGAATTTAAAAAGAATTATAGAACTTCAGTTTCTGAAGGCCACTTACAACTAATCTAACTGGTATAGGAAATCTAGCCTGCTAAATCTTTTGTGGACAAAGCCTATCATTTAAAGTCAAATATTGTCATTATTGTTATTGTTGTTGCTACCATAAGTATTTATGTGCTATTGCTGACATATTACTTTCTGTAGGCTAAAAGTTACTGACCTCTCAATAAGTTCTTCCACTCAATAGTAGTTAACTGAGCACCATTTCAAGGATCAGTGATGGATGATAGCGCCCATTAGCCTGTGAGGTAGATCCTACCAAAGAGTTTCATCTACTTTGCTCTTCTCAGACAGAAGGTGAAGGTGGAGAATTATTCCAAGCAGGACACTCAGCTGTCCACACCACCTCTGTTTCCTATCCACAGGCATGGAAGGTTTTGTGGGAAAGGCTAAGACACAGCTATGGTGAGGGAAGAGATCTGATAAAATACAGCTGCCACCTCATAGCTGTGTGGTGGGGTTTGGATCATTTGATCAAAAATAACTTGGTTGTTGGAGCAGCTTAAAACAACATCTTCTCTTGCTTATCTAAATAGTCTGCCATATCTTCTTAAATCACAGAATTTGACTGCTTAGGAAATGGCTATGAGCGTTTTACTCATGATATGAGTAAAATGATCTTCTATCTAACATGGGAAATAGGACTAAGAGCCTTGATGTCATAGGTCAGAGATAGGTTTTTGCTTTCCTGCAGCAGAGGAAGACACAGGTGATAGAATTGTATTCTTTGATCAATACATGGAAAATGGGCCCCTGGGAGCAAAAGGAAATAAAATTTTTAAGGTGTTTGGTTTGTCTTAATTAGAAAAGGGAGCCTAAAATAACATTTATGATATTGTCATCCCCATAGATAACTTCAGATGCTGGACACTGTACATAAAAGGTAACAGTAGTAGCCTCACTTCCCAGGGACAGTCCAGATCCATTAACCTTAAGACAAATGACAATAAGTCAATTAAATGTTGTGCAAAAAAAACCCCAACATGTGGCAAAAAACAGGTCTGAGAAACCTGAGACTGTAATTTTATGCTTAATTAAGAGCATCTAATAGTACATGAAAGCCCACATGTTTTGTTCAGTGGCAGTGAGTGCAATTTGATTTGCCATGGGTCTTTGTATGAGTAATTAAGTGAGGTCTCTCTAATTAATTCTTAGCACATGCTCTACCTTTCCCAGGACTCTGATATCTAATATCTAAGACAATAGTTTTCATCTGCTGACTACAGCTACATTTGTAGATTCAACCATTTTTAAAAATTTGTAATACACTTTTGAGCTTATTGTTTTTCCTTTGACAAGAAACAACCTTAAAATAGATGCCTGTTTAAAACACATCATCCCTCTCTCGATCTTATGAGAATTCAACCTCTCTTCAGCAACAGCGAGTGAAAAAAAGAAAGAATGGATTTATGTCTGGTGTTTCATTAGCTTCATTGTCAGTGGAAGAATCCTTTTCAATAATTAGTCATCTCACTGAAGTGCTAGGGGAATACATCTCTAATAAATCACCTTGCAAATGTAACATCTATCATGCTTGATGGCAAACACATTAGTGCAACAAGAGTTGAGGAACTATAAGGAATATTGTAATTCAGCTGCTAATTAATCCATAATTAAAGACCTAATTAATGAATAACTCTGTGAAAAAATGTCTAAAAATCAAGATGTGAAGACTGTAGTGATAAAGAGGAATCTTGTTTATGAGATTGGTTAATTTACATCTAGAATAGGAAGTGATTAATGTAAACTGTCAGTAAAACATTATGCTGCAGCACTGGACAAAGAAATGCATACATAAAAATGTGTGGTAACAAAGCTCAGCCTTTGCAAATCTATATTCACATATCTTTTTAATTTTCTGATGTTTGTAGTTATTTCTACCTGAAGTATAAGGAACAGGTTAAGTTTGCTCTCTTAGCTGTGTTATGTCAACAATACAGAGATTAATTTGTGTGTGGAAGAGGCTAATGTCAGATTCTGTTCTTAAATGCCTCTTTTATGAAATAGCTAAAGCAGAAAACTCAAAAAGAACATGATTCATCAGAGCATTCAGGATTAAACTCCATGATAAGCAAATACACTAATTTGTGAAATTAACTTCACTGAAAGCTGGACTAATTAATAGCTTGAAAGTGTCACTGTCTGTCTGTATTTATTTATCTAGGTGATGGCTGGCTGTGACTGTGCTCTTGAGAGAGCAGGAGGAAACATTTCAAACTCCCAAAACATCTGGGCTCACGTCCAGGTGTCAGGACTGCTTTGTCCCACCCTGCAGCAACTTGTCCTTATCCTCTTCTATTTATTCTGCAGTGCAGCTGCATTTGCTGAATCTCTGCAGACCCAGGCCACCCATTGTGATCCATAGCATCATCCTGCCCATGTGCTCTCCAGGACCCAGCCATCACATGCATGCATATATGATTTGAAGCACAATCTAATTTGGATGCCTGACTCAAATCTCTGACTGTCAAATCTACACATTCAACAAGCTTAGTGGCAGATAAACCAGCCAAACTAGCAGGGAGAATAATTCCCTGCTGGTGTAAAGCAATAAGAGACTGGCAAGACTAGGTAGGAAAGAGCAGCTTCCTGCTTTGCAGTCCTCTCCCACTACCCAAGTGGCATAGGGAAGTACCACCTCACTTAAAAGCTGTGCACAGTTAGCGCAATATAGCTGTATATTATGAATATTGTCACCATTTACATTGCTCTTTCAGTCACAGCAGGTTTCTGTAATTTAATCTTTCCTTGATAGCACAAAAAAATGTGTTCTGTTGCTATCCAAATGTCAGTTTTCCTGTTTCCTTTGAATTATTTAAAGACCTGTGAGGTAAATGACTTGATAATTCTGAATTGAAGTGTGAGCAAGCTTATTTCCTACGAAATTATTTGCAGGATTGGTAGGAAACATGTTCATGCACATTTTCCCCTATGTAATCCTGCCAGTAATATTCATAAGATTGTTGCAGATCTCCCACAGTGATTATCTGAAAGAAAAAGGACCCAAGCGAACAAAGCAGAAACAAATTGAAGAAACCAAAACATTAATAAATTGCTAACTCGTGTAAAGCAGCAAAGGAAGTGTACACAGAGCTGCTATTGAAGGCATCTCAGGAGAGCTGTAACAGAGACTAATATTGGCTGTATCTGTGGTATCAAAACTATGTTGGACATCTTCCAGCCTCAAGAGAAGACACAAGTCTTGTTCTACAGAATGTACGGTGCACAGGCAAGTTGACCAGTATTGACACTGAAGCCAGCTGTGTTCAGAGGAGGTTAGACTGTAGTATAATAACTCCAATATGATTTTGGTTTATGACTGGCTGTATTCAACCCACTCCAGACAAGACAGAGATAATGTTGGTAAACAGGGAGGAGATGTAGAAGGGTTAGTACAGTTAATCATGGAAGGCCACAAGAGTCATCATATCTAAGAAAATTTTCCCCTGTGCTCCACTACCTTTTTTGCAAAGAAAATCTTGCCTTGTCTGTGTGAGCCAATGCAGGCAGGACACAGGAACAACCACAAAACCATGGATTAAGGGCAAAGAACAAATTAAACCTCGATATCTCATGGATTGGGGAACCTTGCAGCAGCACCCGGGCAGAGGTAGGCAAGCAGGGGATGCAGGCACCGTGGAGCGAGAGTCCTTATTAGCAAGAGTCCTTGTTAGCAAGGGAGTGAGGGAGCAAGAGAGCTCCCACTTGCTGCTTGGGCCTGTATTTCAAGGATTCTGGCAGGCAGAGTTTTCTGCTGTGCTTTGATCTCTTCTACAGCAGGGCAGGAATCTCAGGCGTGTTCAATAAGATGGCCCCGTGTCCATCCCAGGCCTATGTTATCTGAGTGCAGATGTTCTACTTGTTGAGCACACAAACCTAAGCAACAATTAGTGTGATAGATGTGTTTTCCAGCACCTCACAAGCGAGTCACTTGAGCGTATTTACAGTTCTCCTTGCTAATCTTCTGGTACTTTCCCACATTGTCCTTAACTTTTTGTAGTATGCTCCTCAGTGCATCTATACATTGATATATCTCAGATGCTGATATGAGTAAAAAGAGGCTGGAAACTGTTCATTCAATGAAGCTGCTGATGCGAAGAGCATTTCTCTGCTGAAGGCCTTTTGTCTGGAATTCAGTGTTACTTTTCCTTATTTATACTTAAAACAGTTTGGTTCTCAAAGATCAGGCAGATTATGGCATCTTATGAGGGAAGCACAGGTAACTGAGATGAACCTCCTTCAGCATTAAACACCAGGAGCTTCCAAAGGGCAGTCCCATTTTAAAACCCAATTGCCCCAGAGTTCCTCCATATCCCAGTTTGGTTGCATGTCCAGATGTATTTGAAGTCATCATTTCTCTCCTTTTTATTCAGCCCAGGAGAAAAAAAAAAGGAAAAAATAAAGAGGGGAAAGAAAAGAGGGAAAGGGAGGGGAGGGGAGGGAAGAGGAGAGGAGGGGTAGACATAGTCAGAAGTATGTGTATCTTTGTAGCAACAACATGAATAAGAATAAATAGAAAACAATACAGATTATAGACATTACATATCTTCTTTTTAATCCTGTAATTTTTCAATACGTTACTGAATAGATCCTGGTCTTGAGCTCCTGGGTACTCTTACTACTTAAAGCATAAAGTTTGAAGTAGATGATAGAGAACTGTCTGCATACCTTTAGGAGAATTTATGAATCAAAATAAAATAAGTGATAATATAAAAACAATCCATGCAGATAGGCAAGCAGATGCTTTCACTAGCAATAACATTTGACATTGATGTTGTAACACTTAAATGAAAATGTATGATGAGTATCATCACTAAGATTTTGCTTTTTTGCTACCTAATCCTCCAAATGCTTAATAGTGTCAATATTCTTATACACATAAGGATTCTATTTGATTTTAATAAGCCCATTTATATATAAAGTTAAATAAACATAACTTTTGCAAGATTGTAAAGGAACAGTGTTGCCTTCTTTTTAAAATGTGCATCTCTTATGTAGGGAAAATCTTGCAATCATTAAAAATAGAAATGTATCTTGAATGACTAGCTTTGTTTCTGAGCTAACTATTATGAGAAAGATAAGAAATCAGACTGACTTCCCAGTATGTTGTCTTTCAAGGATATTGATTAAGGCCTTATAGATTTTTTCTTGGGAGATATAAATGGCGAGGGAGAAGACTATAAAGCTTCCATAGGCACACACAGAGACCTATTTTCTCCACATTATTCTCTTGAAAATGACATTTTTTGCCTTGTTTTTATGCTCCTGAATCCCTTTTCCCCTGGAAAGCACTGTTCTTTCATTATTACACACTACTTAAGAACCTTGCTTTTGTGATCTATCTCACTAATAACTCGTAACACTGAATGAATGTTATAATCATGCATCATCTCAGAAAGGTGTGCTGATGATCTACAGCATAATTTACATGTAGATGTCACACAAGGAAAGTAGCATTACATTGCAAACTCAGTGTAGTTATGAAGTAGGGCCTTGCAGATGTAGGTGATGGTTGCTTTTGTGGTCAGGACTTGCCCTTAATGAAAGCAAGGTTGCCTGTTTCTTGGGTGAGAAATAACTTGACTATGTTATTTTGACTATGGTAATTTTCACTTACTGCCATACTAGTGGGTTGGGTAATCCTCACAAGTATCACCAAAGCTTGTCCTTAATGACCACGTGTAAGTATGGGGTGTGAAGGAGTAATGCTGAATTGCAAAAGGATGGGGAAATTGGAAAAGGAAGGAGATTGCAGTATGTGTAGATTTGGATGAACAACCATGTGACTACTTTGAGCAAGGCAGTTGGACTAGGTGACCTCCAGAGGGCCTTTCCAACCTCACTGGTTCTTTGATTTTTGACAATGGGTAAAATGCTACTGGTGATTATCTGTTAAAAGCCTAAGTGTGGAAGGGAACACAGGTGTGGAATACCAGTTGAAGGGAAGAGTTAGAAAGAAGTCTGTAATGAGGCATTTCTCTACCCAAATGTAACTTCCCCCCTGTAACTAACAGATGATAGCTGTGGGTTTTCGTGTGCTGGTCTAACCTGATGATCATAGAATCATAGAATTGTCTCGGTTGGAAGGGACCTTAAAGATCATCTAGTCCAACTATCAACCTAACTCTGACAAAAAAATAAATAAGAAATAGGAAATAAAAATTACTAAACCATATTCCTGAGGACCGTGTCTACCCGTCTTTTGAACACCTCCAGGGATTGTGCCTCAACCACTTCCCTGGGCAGCCTATTCCAATTCTTGATAATCCTTTCGGTGATATCCCTTTCAGTGACCCTTTCCTAATATCTAAACTAAATCTCCCCTGGCGCAACTTGAGGTCATTTCCCCTTGTCCTATCTCCTGTGACTTGGGAGACGAGACCAACCCCCACCTCTCTACACCCCCCCTTCAGGTAGTTATAGAGCGTGATAAGGTCTCCCCTCAGCCTCCTCTTCTTCAGACTGAACAACCCCAGCTCCCTCAGCCTCTCCTCAAAAGACTTCTTCTCCAGACCCCTCACCAGCTTTGTTGCCCTTCTCTGAACCCGCTCCAGCACCTCAATGATTGGAAGACAGCAACTGTTGCACGTGAACTTGAACAGGTACAGAGCTGTGTATTTCTAGAAATGGAAATTATTATTGGCAGTTGCTTCTTCTGTTGCAAATTCTTGCCATGCATGAGTAAGCACCGTGAAGAACCTACTCTTAGGATCAGATTAGTCTAGTTTCTACCGTCTTGCCAGGTTCTCTTTCCTGGGTGACGTATCATCAGAAAAATCATGGTGTCTGAATTTTGGGAAATATACATTCTGCCATCATGCTTGATACTTCAGGCCCATTTTTTTGACTAGGGCATGGAGTGAAGCAACAGCTCTTTGAAAGTTGTTGGGAGACCTTGTCAAAGTTGTAGATAGCAACAAAGTTTCACTCTTGTCCTGATGAGCATTTCTAAAGCCTTAGCCATGCTATGTTCTGATCAGGATTTGTGGCTTTACTCCTTTTGAAAAGATTAGTCCTGAGGAGTTATGATGGACACCTCTCACTTCCCACCCACATTCCTGCTCTGCTTTGGGTTTACCACTGAAGAAAAATGCTGATGCATTACAACCTAATCTAACATGTGGATAAAAGCTGTACGACCTTTTCCAACCTGAGTGTTTAGTAAATCAGTGTCTCAATAAAGAACAGATGACTTAACTTGTGAGACAGGAAGGTGGGGAACAAGTCAAGGAAATAGAGTACTTTCACATTTTATTCAGACTTTGTGTTGATTAAGGCCATCTAGTTCCAGCACAGGTCAGATGTCCAGCTGCCATTTCACTGTCTCTGAGCAATTCAGCTCCTGCAATAGCCCTTCTATCAAAACACTGCTATGAATTGGTCTGTTAAAATGAGTTAGGTCCTGCAGAGTGACTGCTTGTCTGCAGCTACTGTGAGGGGGAAGTCCTTGTAACTTGGTTTCTTGTCTTGGGCAACAGAGGAGAAAGTTTTAGTTTATGCAGTAAAGAGTTTCCTGTAAATTATTAGTGAATATATTTTAGAAGGGTACAGCTGATTATAGATAAACCTTTCAACTGAGAATAAGGTCATAATTCTCATTGCACTGCTAATAATGGGGTTTTGACTTGGCTGCGGTCAGCAATTGGTTCCAGATAGGTTGGGAACTATTTTTGCCTGATTGTTAGTGCTCATAAAGATGAACCAGCAATGGGAGTAACTTTATGAACAGCAAAGATAGCAGTTTATATAGATACAGATACAGATACAGAAGACTACGTCATGGAAAAATATTGGTCTCTGGTTGCAAAGGTGGACAGGTAGGAATCTTTCCCTTTGTTGTACCTATGCATAATCCTTTTTAGTCCATGTTGTGCATTTTCCAGGGGACATGAGGGTGTTTTGCGGGTTCAGAATAAATTATTCCTTATTGCAGAGAGATGTAAAAGTGAAAGGGGGTGAAAGAGAAAAGCAAAGTTACCAGTGGAAAAGTGCAGAGAGGAGGACGATTTCCCCTTCCTCCTCAGTATTAAAACAGGACAGATAATAAATAGCCCCAGTTGAAGGATGTAGAGCTTGGAAAAAATGATTACAGTAAGGTCTGAGGAAAAAGTAATAAATACAAGCTTGAAAACACCCAGTAAAGGAAAGGGCAGATCTTTTTTTAAATGACCAGAAGACCATTCGGTAGGCTTTTCTTCTTTCCTTTCTTTATGTTCTTTTTAAGCTTATGAATGATATAATTAATGTGGTATCTAATGAAACATCAAGCAAATTTTAAATAGCTGATTTTCCTTTTCTCTACTTTTACCTTGGTAGAAGCAGTTATTTTTGAAAGTCTTCAAACTTGTTTGCAGTGGTTAAGCAAACCATTTTACACAGAAGTAAAGATGACAGAAGTCCTCTGTAGACAATCTAGCTGCACTTCATGGAAAATAGTGTATTGTGATGATTGTACCCTCATAAGTGACTCCAGCAAGACAGTACAGTTTTAGCTATGCTATCAATACTTGTATCTGTACTTGTGTTACTAAGGTTTTTGTTTACTTGTGGTTTACTAAGGTATTTGTTTCCTTTGTTGATACTGAATCATTGCTACAGTTTAGTAAGGAAAACCATGGTAGCAGTCATGCTGTGTTTCACAAGATGTGAATCTGAGGTCTTTCTCTCTAGTGGTTGTTAAAGATAACTCAGTGTGGTCTTTGCCTCAAGAGAAAAGAAGATAGTGTTCATATTGGGTCGCGCTCAAGCACAATGCCTGCTAAAAGGAATGTGAGCTTTGTCACAGACTTCAGTAGGGGCAAGGTTCCTGCAACAAGTTTCTGTGGTTTTAACTGAATATGAAAAGCTTGGTAAGGTAGGGTCCAGTTCAGCTCAGTTCTTAACTGCACAGGACCTAATAAGTTGGTACTAACCCTTCAATTGTTGCAAGGTAATTCTACATATACTAAGAAATGGGACCATGTGTTCACAGACCCTTCACCTCATCTTGCCTTAGGTCAGTTTTCATTGTATAGCACCTACTTATGCAAACACTGGAAATTGCCATATTCCACTGTAACAGGATAGCTTGAGTGCATAAAGATCAATACACGACAACCCAAAATGAAGGGCTTTTGCATACTTTACAATGAAAAAATTCTTTATGAGCTCTTGTTTTAATATTAGAGAAATTGTAAAAATACAAACATTTTAAATTTCATTTCATCATTGTTATTTAATCAAAATAGTATTTCTTTGAAACTGTGTCTATCTCGGAAAGGGAAGCTTGCAAGGAATAAAAAAAAATTGAACATTTAGCTGTTGCCATAGATTTTATGTATAAGTCGATTGTATGCTACATTGACTACTGCCAGCACAAAACCCTAGACAAATTAGGTAAGATGTGTAATATTTCTTATGACTTCAGCTTTTTTTCCCCCCATAGTTTTAATGAAACACGATCATTTAGTTCCTCATTTTTCTAATTATTTCTTTCCTGAAGTGTTCATGGTGGCTTGTTCTTGCAGGAGAAGCTTAATGTTGACAGTATGGGGCATCAGGTGATAATATTTGACTTTTCTCTCATAAGAGGACTGTGGGAAACTCGAGTTAAGAAGAACAAAGAACGTCAGAGGAAAGAGAAAGAAAGACTGGAAAAAAGCTCATTGGAGAAGTAAGCCAATTTTTTTTGCTGTTCATTTTATCTGAATCCATTATTATTACCCACTAACATTACCATATACTAAGCATTGTCAGATGATTCCAATTTTTTTTTTGGGGGGGGTTGATTTCAATGATTTCTCACCTCTGTTCCTCAGATGATTGTAAGAGAAATGCAGCAAAAACTGTGCTTGTATTTCATTAGTCCCTGCTCTTTCCTATGTAGATGGTGGTTTACTAGTAGTGTATTTTGTTGTTTACTGCCTAGATTTAATGTGAAGAGAAAAATAACATATTTTGTAACATTCTATTCCTTATATGCTGTATAAAAGTATGGTTCTTTATTGTGAAAGTCATGAAAACATGCTCATAAAATGCAGTACTAAGAAATACTTCAAGTTTTTTTGTTGAGTTGGCAGGAGAAACAAAATGAATTAAACAAATGTACACGTACATAGAGAGAGGATAGAATGAAAGAATTATAGGATTTTTTCTTGTTCAAATACTAAAGAGAGCCTTGATTATAACACTTACATCCACTAATCATGTTAGTGTTTTTATTATATCTAATTTATGGTTTCTTTAACTAATATTTTGGTTTCTTTATGTTAATTCCCATTAGAAACAGTGAAATATTATACTGTGCTGGCAATGTTGGAAGCATATGACTTGTCATCTTTCCCTCTGAGAAGAGAACAAAGCAATAAAAATAACTTTCTGCTTTACAATAAAATAGGGTTAAACAGCGCCCTTGTTTAAGACTATAATTTTGTTAAACTTTCATGTGGTGCCTTGGCCTTCTCAGGAGACACCCACTCACAGATTCTCACTGCGAGTACAGCTACACTGAGCAGCTGACCTAAGAGGAGATCATGGTTATACAAAGTCTGACTGCCCTTACTGCAAGACCTTTCTCTTCAAAACACCCACAATCACAGTTTTGTTTCTCCCATCTCTACCCAAAACCAACATTAAAAACCATAATCCTAACAAAAAAAAACCCAAACAAACAAAAAAAGGAAAAAACAAACCTTGTCCTTTGGATTAAATTTTCCGGCAAGGATAAGCTTTTCTTTTTTTTGTAGGAGCTGAGGGATGGAAAAAATTTGCTGTTGTGAGGGTTACCTTTATGGTGGGAAAGAGAAGTGAAAGGTGTTGGTATGAAACTCAATCGAACTTTATTCTGTCCCAGATACTGCATTAAGAAGTGGCTTTGTACAATTTTAATGCAGATAAAACAGATGACTACTGCTGTCTACGTCAGCTAGTGGCTCTTGGGGTTACCACATCAGCCTTCTTCATAAAAAAAATGTTATAGAATCATAGAATTGTCTAGGTTGGAAGGGACCTTTGAGATCTAGTCCAACCGTCAATCTAACTTTGAAAAAAACCCATCACTAAACCATGCCTTCTAATGGTACATGCAGTCATCTTCAGAACTGATGAAAGGTCAGTCCCAATGTGGACCTGAATGTCAACATCCCCCTGCCATGTTTTGTTTGGGTTTTGGTTTTCTGTGGTGCAGTAGAAAACTTCTGAGTTCACTAGTACAAAAACAAACCAGAAGCACCAGGCAGGGGAAACTACTGTATGGAAGTGGGAAAGAGGGTAACATGATGTGCTCTGAAGCAGCTAATTTCAGCTCACATGTTTTTTATCAGTTTTTATCAGTTGCATATGTTAAGCCTTATTTCTTACTGTGACTTGTATTTTCCATAAAAACAATACATTCTCCCTGTTGTTTCTGCCTGTGGTTATTTGTCTGTAACCACCCATCCAGCTGAAAGAGTGGAGCCTGACTGCCTGTTCTGCTCTTTTCAACTAATGAGATCCAAAGTCATTCTTTTATCTTTCTGCACCAACTGGAGCTGGAGAATTTGGGATCTGATGCAGAGGAGTAGAAGGTTCCAAGTGCGCTTTCAGCAATCACAAAGGATTTTTGTTTTCTTTCTTTGGCTTGCAATTTGCATACGGTACTTTGTCTTGTTGCATGCCTTCATGCAATGAAATTGATTTCCAGCTAGTCCTATTTTTTTGAGAGCTCCTGGAAAAAAAGGAGCTTTGTTTCCTGAACACGAGTGACCAGTATTTCACCTACTGAAATGAATGGCAAAGTTCATGTCCATTCTTATGATGCAGGCCTCATAGAATGGATAAAGCTGACAGAATAATGGTCAAATTAAATTTAAAGAAAAATCCTCTTTGTTTTACGAGGTGTGCAGTGACCACTGGCCTTTAGATCCAAAAGGTCAGATCTCAAGTTATTTCTTAGATACCTTTCAGTGCTTCCAAAGGTTGAGCCAAAAATAGGACAAAATTCTGTTGTTATCTTGAAAGCATAGATAAAATTGTAATTAGAATTAAACGTTTAACAGAAATAATGTTTCCCTGTAAAAATTATTTTCAGTATTTTAGGGAATTCTGTGTGTGATCAAACTCTGGTATTCTACTTAGATATTAAAATTTTACTACATTACTAATTACTACTAAAATTAAAATACACTGCCAGGTAGATCCCCTGAAATTAGTGACAGTACTTACTGTCAAATCACAGTAAGAAAGCACTTTGGAAAGTACTGTGACTCAAAATGTTAATTACAAAAATACATTCTTAGAAGGCAGTTTCCCAAATTAAGCACTGCATTCTAGCATTTAAGATTCTAGACATTTACTTTTGCCAGCAGCCCAACTGAATTCCCAAGTAGGGCTGAAATTAATAGAGTTTCTCTGCAAATATACTCATGTAACAGATGAATTTGAAGTCTTGCCTGCTGAGGCTGCTTTGTGTTTTTTTTTTTTTTTAAATAAAATCCAGTTTTTTTTTCAAAATGGTTAAAATTCATTAATGCCCTTGAGATTGTGCAGTTCCTTATCATCTGTGTTGCTATGTAAAATGACCTGATAATATATAGTGAAATATAGCATTTATTATTTGAGGAAAAGGTCCCAGTGAATATCTAGGGAAATTTGCTTGCCTTCAGGCAAGGTAATTCATACAGGGTCAGTAAGCAGTCACATGTAAAATATTTCTCTTTTTTGGTTGAAGGTTTTCTAATAGGAAAGCCTCTCAAATAAATGCAAAACCTGAACTGTATTTGCATTAATGGTGAAGTCTTGCAAAGATTTTGGGAATTTACAGGTCTGGAACAAATGTTTAAGAAACTGGCCAGTGAAAGTTGATTCTGGAGAATATTCTACTGAGAATATTGTGAGAGGCTCATATTTAGCTTTCTGAGACACTGGTAGCAGATCACTTTGGATGTAGTTAATTCAGTCCTCTGTTTCCCCATTGGTTTTGTGGGAATGTGGAAAAACAGCAGTCTAAGGAACTCCTACTTCTGGGCAGCACGTATATACCAGCAACTGAGTATGAAAGAAAAAGAGACAGTACACTGTTTTGCAGAAGTCATTTCATTTTACTTCATGTCCTTAATCCCATCAGACAAGCCCATTCTAAAATCCCAGAGGATATGAAACACAAACTGTTACAAAAATGCACTGTTCTGTGGATATCCAGGTCTTTATGAAAGTCTGTATTGTGGAAAGCAGTTTGTGTTTATAGCACTGTTTTATATTTCGTCTTTTAGATTGTGGTAGTGCTGAAAATCTTATATTCTACCCTGAAATCCTGAAAGCTGTCAGACTAATTTGATGTGGTATGATGATTTTCCTCATTATTTTTTACTTCCTACTTATCATTTTTTTGGAAAGGGAAAAAGAGCGAGCATTTATAGTTAATTTTTTTTTTTTTTGAAGGATTGCAACATGTTTGTATTCTGTGTGAAATGCAAGTAAGGTAAAAATTGAAGTCTGACAAATTAAGCATTCAAGTGAAGAAATGCCAGAGCTGTTTGTCCAGATTAGCTATCAAAGTCTTTGCTGTAAAGCGGCACAGCATCCCCTGTCCACCAACGAAACATGCAGCAAAAATAACAGCTTGTTCAGCCACCTCTTTCAGTGTCTCTCTTCTTGAGAAATTTCCTCTCAAGGTCTGGCTAGCTAAATGTGCATGTAATGTGCATGTATTATTTTTCTGAGCTATGCATTTCTTTAATATTAAAAATCAAAAGAAAACTTTCACTTTACAGGCAGACAGTGACTATTTTTCCCTTAGAGGTTGTATGTTTGTTTAATAAAATGGATTTGTCTCTATTTCTCTGCCAAACTGAAGTGTTATAACTCTACTTGTACCTGAATTAAGATTTTATTTGTGATGTTTATCTTTATTTGCCCACTCATTACCCAATTCAGAAACTTTTCTAAGCAAGACTAAGACTTAAGCTGGGACTCCTTATCCCCAAACACAAATTATAAGCAGTAAATTGGGAGTAGATCTGCAGCACTAATAACCACTTACGTTGTTTGATTTTGTTCTTAGATACTTGTGCATACAGACCTTGCATCTAATATAATGCACCTAAATGGATTGAAAGATAAAAGCTGCTGTTCAGCCACAATCCTTTAAAAGCCATGAAAGACACCGTCAGAGGGATTGAAATTAAATCAAACCAATTGAATTTGAAGCAAATGTTACTCGTCCATCAGGAATATCAGTCTGGTCTGAGCTCCAGATTAACTCTACTGCTCTTATAAGAATTCCATAGGATTATTTAATGTGTGGCTAGTCATTCTGATTTAGACATCACCATCACCCAAGAGTACTAAACTGATGTCACCATGTAGTGCCCTGGCTGTTTCTTCCATCCTGATTTAGACAAAATGGTGCCATCTAATGAAATTTCCTTCCTTTACCTAAGAAGCATAGATTTTTCTCAAAGGTTGATAATTGGACACTGAGCAGTTAGTAACTGCAGAAGGAAGAACCATTCAAAGAAACCGAGCTATACCTCATTTATTAGAATGGCTCTGAAATACTCACTAATGCAAAAATTCTTCCAAGCTGGTCACATCACTGAATTTATTCTACAGTAATTCCTTCGATCAGGTTAATTTGATTCATGATTTTGCTGGAGAATCTAAAATGCCAAGCACGGAACTCCCATATCCTCAAAA